CACAACATTGTAAAGCAATTATAAAATAAACTAAAAAAATACAAATGAATCAGAGATACAGCCTCCTGAAGGAAAAAAAAAAGCACTTTCCATTCAGGCTTGGATATGTTGTATTAGAACAAAATTTCAATAAAAGGTGGGCTTAATTTACAGGGGGAAAAAAAAGATGGCATTCATGAGGGGAATGGGTAGCTTAGGAAGGAAGTGGCAAAAAGGAAGAATTTACTGTGGTCTCTATTTATTTGGGGCTTCCCAGGTGGCTCAGTGGTAAAGAACCTGTCTGCCAATGCTGGAAAAAGTCAGAGACATAGGCTTGATCCTTGGGTTGGGAAGATGCCCTGGAGAAGGAAATGGCAACCCACTCCAGTATTCTTGCCTGGAGAATCCCATGGACAGAGGAGCCTTGTGGGCTACAGTCCATTGGGTCGCAAAGAGTCGGATGTGACTGAGCACATTTTGTCAATTATCTGCAAAGCTCTTCCCATTTCTATCGCCAAGTTTTAAGGCGGGTCTGTGTCTCTAATCCATGCTATAGATGACGACTGCCCGCTGCAGCCACCAACTGCTGGAGAATGGACCCCCCCTTGACACCATTCTGCCCTCTCTCTGTTCTGCCTGGGGTCCGGCTCTGACCCACTTCACTGTGGTTTGAACAGGTAGTCTGGATATTCTAAGAAGTATTCTAATATTCCAGTAAGAACGTACCTGTATCTAACATTCCAGTAAGTACGTACTTATTGGTACTTATTGCTACTCCCAGATTTAAACAACGAAGGGTTGTTGGTCTCACCTAAGAGAAGTCTGAGGATAATGCAGGAGCCTAAAAGTGATACTGTGGATCCAGACTCACTATTTGACTGCATCATTCCTAGTGCATGGGCTTGGTCCTCACGTTTGTCACCTCGTGGCTGAAAGGCGCCTGCTGCGAAGGTGTACCACATCCATTTTCTAGGGCTGAGGAAAGAGGATGTGGCTGCGAAGGGCCCAGCATCCCTCCACTTGCCTCTCCTTGGGTGGTACTGTCACATGAGCCTCACACTTGAAGAGAGGCTGGGAGATGGAGACTTTAGCTTTCATTGCTTTGATGGGAGAGAAAGATATGGAAGAAGAGGGTTGGGAATAGGAACCATATCAGCCAAAATATACTGACTGCCACAAATGTGGAACCAAAGAAGTTCCTTTACAACCTTTCCTTGATGGTCAGAAGTGATGGATTCCATGGTGTTTCCTATATTTCACCATCACATTTCTTCCCTAATTTCACAAAGCACACTTTCTCTGTTTAAAAGTAAAATACCCACTCTGTAGGCTGCACTAGGAAAGGAAAATCATCACAAAAATATTGATTTTTTTATGAATTCCCTCAGTTAATGTTCAAATTACCTAGTATCTATCTTCTATTGCCAAACACTGGGATACAATGTTGACTAATGTGTGTTTTTTTAATCATTGAACATATGTTTTCTCTGCACAGTGCTTTATCAATTAGAAATGCTTTCAGACACTAAAAAGCAGAAAATTCAAATAACAGTAACATAAAACTATTAATAATCTATGACTTACTTCTAAAACATTCAAAAGGAGGTGTGTGGCTCCGCAACTTTAGGGTGCTAGAACTGTATCTCTGTGATTCCCCTCATGGTTACAAGAAGGCTGCCATAGCTCTAAACATCTTATTCTTTAATAATGGTAGCCAAGATGGTGGATGAACTGTTTCCTCATGCCTCCTTCTTTTAGCAGAAAATACAGTCTTCCCTAGGGGACACCTCAGCTGATTCATTATCTAGAATAAGGTCAGGTGTCCACCAAAAATATCGAGTGAATAAGGGAGAAAGTGAGTGAAAGTGAAAGTCGCTCAGCCATGTCCAACTGTTTGTGACCCCATGGACTATACAGTCCATGGAATTCTCCAGGTCAGAATGGAGTGGGTAGCCTTTTCCTTCTTCAGGGGATCTTCCCAACCCAAGGGTTGAACCCAGGTCTCCTGCATTGCAGGCAGATTCTTTACCAGCTGAGCTACCAGGGAAGCCCGAATAAGGGAGAGGGGACTGGGAACCAATTTTGGACACCCAACCAAGAGTGCTGTCACAGATGCTTTATAGTTTTCCACATATTTTTACATTCATGATCTCATCTTATGGCTCAACAGGACTACCATCCAAACATACCAGAAACTCAAGCCTGAAATAAGAGGTATGGGCAGCATCTGCTTTGTGAGAACTTCTGGCTGGAATGTAATTTAAAGATCCTTTGAAGGTGCAAATTTAATGAAAGGGTTTTAAATATAATGCAGTCTGCCTATAAAGTAAGTATACAAGATCTCAAGGAGTAATTCAGATGATTTTGTAGTTTGGGATGATCATTACATGGTGGAATGAAATGAGAAATCAAGATACATGGATTCAAGGTTCAGCCTTGGGTAAGACACTGGAAGAATTCAGAGGCTCCGCTTCCTCATTTGTAAAATTATATAGTTGAACAAAATTTTAGATAACCGCTAAACTTTTTCTCAAATATAAGATTAACTATCTAATCATGATGTTAGAAGTCATGAAACAGAATCATCTATTTCTGACCTCTTTTTATAAATAAGAGAACTCAGGCTCAGAAAGGTCACTACTTATCCAAATTGGTGGATCAGATGGTAAGAATCTGCCTGCAATGCAGGAGACCGGGCTTTGATCCTTTGGCTGGGAAGACCCCCTGGAGAAGGGAATGGCAACCCACTCCAGTATTCTTGCCTGGAGAATCCCATGGACAGAGGAGCCTGGTGGGTTCCAGTCCACGGGGGGTCCCAAAGTCAGACACAGCTGAGCTAGTAACACAATCATTTCTAGGATAGAAACTTTTGAGTCCTAGTATAGAATACACTGTGCTTTCACAAGTAATTGATGCTGTATCCTGACAGATGTTTTTTTTTTAAGTCTCCTCTTCTATCTTCATTTTCATGTTAGGCAGAATCTCTTCAACAGCATTTACTCTGTTTAATAGTTCAGATAATGAGATTTTTTGAAGTCCACCTTTTAGCTGTAAGGTCTCAGGCAAATTACTTAACCTCTCTGTAAAATAAAAATTGCACCTCCTACATAATTTTTTCCTTTTTATTTTGAGGACTAGACAAAATAATCTATCAAGGAGACTTAGGGGTGCTTCCTTGGAGGTCCAGTGGTTAGGACTCCTATCTTCCACTGCAGGGGGCCCAGGTTTGATCTCTGGCGGGGAAACTAAGATCTCATGTGGCAAGGCCAAAAAAAAAGGACAGTGTAGGGACTGAGACACAGCAAGGACTTAATCTCAACAGGCCGTCTCAGCGCTTCAAACTCCATACTGAGAAGAGCGTCCTGGACCAATATCCACAGCGGGAATGTGGAGGGTGAGTCCAAATGTCACTCTCGTTATTTTGTCTTTATGGAGTCATACCTTTTACCTGCACATTATACAGATCTGAAGGCTCTGTGTTAAAAACTAGGTTAGGATACAGAACTGAAAGTCAGAGCAATCATTATCACACAGTCACTGAGCTCATTAACCAGCGACTTGTACAAAACAAACAAAAATAACTTAAATCAAGGCATTTCATCAGGGACTCCAATCAAGAATGGGCTGCGGGGGGAACAGGGAACAGTCTAACACTTTATTGAAACTGGCATTCTCAACCTCAGAACTATCGCTATTTTGGGATGGATAATTCTGGGAGGCTGTCCTGTACCTGGTAGGGTATGTAGCTGCATCCCTGGTCTTTCCGCCCACCAGATATTAGCTGCATCACCCTGGTCATGATGATCAAAAATATCTTCACACCTTGCAGACTATTCCCTGGGAGGGATCATAATCTGCCTTCTCTTGCTTGAGAACCACTGTGATTAAAGCTTGATATGGAAGTGCATTTTTGTCTTTTATTTTTTTTTTTTGAGGGTGGAGAAGGTTCTCATCAATTTCATCATATTCTTAAAGCGGTCTATGACCTCATAAAGAGTGGGAACTAATTACACAAAACCTCTCAAATTAATAGTGTAAGCGTGCACATCTCCATCTGTAGTAGTAAAACAAAAATGTGCACCACCATGGCTAATTAAAATGGTGCAATTTGAAAATTTACTATGAAATTATATCTATCCAGCGATTACTTTCAACTTTTGAAAAAGCACAAAAACTGTATGTGGGGAAGTAGCTACTTCACAAACTGCTATTCCCAGATGGCAGGTTTCTTAAAATACCGCCTTCAGCAAGGACTCCCACAGTCTGCTGAATGTGGCTCTCAACTTCCAAAGGGGTTAGCGCTAAGGACAAGCAAAAAAGACCTGACGTCCAGAGGGGGAATCAAAACCAGTGTTTTCTCGGTAAAGAAATTCAATGGAGGTATTGATTGCAAGAGTGATTGGACCGAAAGGTGGAAGAGAAGAGAGGGAGGGGAAGAGAGGAGAGAGAGAGACAGACAGAAAGGGGAGAGAGAGGACAGCCAGGGAGAAACGCTTTGAAAGAGGTTCCCAAAGAGGAGGTCTCTTGGGAGAGGTTTGCTGGAATCTTCCCCTGCTTTTTTTCCCCTGCCTTGGCTGGAAAGGCGGCTGCCAGACGGAACCCCAGAGGGGGCTCTCTGCTCTCTGCCTCCCATTCCCACGCCCACACTGTCCTTGCTCACCCCCTTCCAAAGTGACCACATCCCAGGAAAACTCGAATCACTGCACCAGTCTCTAGAGCCCTGCTCTCCATCTCCGTCTCCTAAAGGCAGTCGGAAACCGGAGCTTAAACCCCAAACACCAGACTCAGGAGAGCAGCCAGGGAGCGTGTCTCAGCTCCCAGCCACCACCGCCCCCCCCCCCCCCCCCGCGGGAGCACCCCAGAGGACCAGCAACTTTCTCCCCCACTTATCGGTCTGTTTGCCTCCATCCCACTCTCGGGTTGGAAGGAGTGGCGGTGCGCGGAGGGCGGGAGGGGCTCAGGGCCAGAGGTGTCGAGAAAGCCGCACGCGTTGAGGGGGTGAGGTGGGAGGGACCCCGGCATCAAGGGGCCTCGCGCCCTCCCCGCCCCGCGCGCCGGGAGGGTCCCCGCCGGCCGCGCCCGGGCCGCGTCCACTCCGGGTCCCGGCGGGCGCGAGGGGAGGGGACAGGCGAGAGGAGGGCCGGGCGGCGGAGGGGAGGAGGCGCTGCGTGCCTCGCCTGCCAAAGGCAGATCGGCTCCTCCGCCCGCGAGCCCCGGCGCCCCGCGCGCCGCCCCAGCGCTCCGCCCGAGCCGCCGCCGGAGAGCCGGAGGAGCGCGGGCTGCCCGGGAGTGGCGCCGCGCGTCCTCCTGGAGACCTCCGCCCCCTGCCGGCCCCTGCGCGCCCCTCCCGAGGCCGGCCCCGGAGGCTCCGCGGCTGTCGGGGACCGCGGCGAAGAAGGAAGGACGGTCCGGCGCGCCGTGGATGCTCCGCCCGGGAGAGACAGCAAGTTGTGAGTGCGCCCCGGCCCCGGGAGGGAGGGCGGCCGCCGCCCGCCAGCCATGTGAGTCCAGAGCGCGGCTGCCCCGGGGCGCGGGCTCCGCGCCTTTCTCTCCGCGCCCCTCGTCCCCGGACGCCGGAGTTGGGCTGCCCCCGAGGCTCCGGACTTCCTGAGCTGGGCTCCCCGCCGGCTCGCCCGGCCCGCCGCGTCCGTCTGCCTCCGGGGCGGGGTGGGGGACCCCATCCTCACCTCCTCCCTCCGCGCGGGTCCTGCTGGAAAATGCCCCTCTTCCCCTTTGGGGAGTTAAAGGATCGTTGTGTATCTTCGGGGTGGGGGTGGGTGCGGTCGTCGGGGGGGGGCTTGGCTGGCTAAGGGCTTGCCTGGTCTTACCCCCCCTCCCCGGGGTGCCTGGCCCCAACCTGAGGTGAGGGCCCCCTCCCCACTCACCCGGTGACTCCCCCGTCTGCCCCAGCCTCAGGGCCCAAACAGACCAACTTCAGCGACTAATGCTGATGCTGACCGCTGTTGACAAGATTAAAAAAAAAAAAAAAAAAGTAGCCGGAGCTCCCCTGGAGTGAATGACACAAGGGAGTGAAAAAGGGGCGGTGGGTGGAAAGCAAAGGGCTGGGGCGAGAGCTGGAAAGGAGAGGGGGAGGATTTGAGATGGACTCTGAAAGCTGGAGTCCTGGGGATGGAACTGTGGGGTGCATGGACTCTGGGCTTCTGTGTTCTTTATGAAAAGTGGGGAAAGCGGTTCTAAAGGGAGGGCAGGATGCAAGTGAAACCCCTGGAAAGACCGGAAAGTATGAACTCTTTTTCAGATGAGACACTCATTCATTCAGTGGGAAAGATGGTTCCAATAATTTAATTAGAACAATTAATCAGGATTGCAGATATGAAAATGAGTCGTACACAGGCTTTCTTTTGTTGACACTAGAGAAGATAGCTGAGACTGAAGGCATTCCCAAACACTACTGAATAAGCATGGCAAGACGCCTTAGAGTCCCAGCCACCCTGGATGCCTAGACAATCTATAATTGTGAAAATGAGCCTAATTATTTTGTTCGGGCTCATGCAGAGAGTTAATGCACCTAAAGGAACACAGAAAAGTTGCTGCAAATTATGAGCGTGAACTTGCAAGCCAACTGAACAAACCATGCTATGGTTCATTTTATTATAACATTCAGAATTCTGTTTACCGCCAGTAAAAATGCTGCCTTCTTTTTAACGTGAGTATGTGCAGTGAATTCACTGGTTTGGCAAGTAGGAATAAGTCATGCATTTCTTTAAGTAAGTAGCTGTCCGAGTTGATTAGGGAACATAAGAGATAAAGACGTGAAAAAGCTTTGAGCCAGTCTGACAAAATTTGAATTATGGAAAAGTTAATAGAATGGATTCTTCTCACTTTTGAACTATGGAGGTGTCTCTGAATGGGTGTTAATTGAAAGTTGCAGACCAACTGAGTCGGTCTTATCTTTTCTGTAAAGACATTTAACCTTTAATGTTATGGTTTTTCCAGGGACCAGCACCCTTACTGCAGAGAATGGGAAGCTGATGTCCAGTAAGACTGAAGATCTGTTCTGTTAGTAGCCGCTCTCCCATCACACAACTGTGGATTACCCAGCGGTTTGACAGCCTTTACTTCTTCCTGCAGCCCCGGAACAGTTACTTCGGGGCCTCCCTGCCCTGTAAGGTGAAAGATGGCATCCAGTCTGACTTGCACCGGGGTCATCTGGGCTCTGCTCTCGTTCCTTTGTGCGGCCACCTCCTGCGTGGGGTTCTTCATGCCCTACTGGCTCTGGGGGTCACAGCTGGGCAAGCCCGTGTCCTTCGGTACTTTCCGGAGGTGCTCCTATCCCGTGCACGATGAGAGTCGGCAGATGATGGTGATGGTTGAGGAGTGTGGGCGCTACGCCTCTTTCCAGGGCATTCCCAGCGCCGAATGGAGGATCTGTACCATCGTGACCGGCCTGGGCTGTGGCCTGCTCCTCCTCGTGGCGCTCACCGCCCTCATGGGCTGCTGCGTGTCGGAGCTCATCTCCCGGACAGTGGGAAGAGTGGCCGGAGGAATTCAGTTTCTGGGGGGTAAGTGACTTCTCTCAACTTCACTTGTTTATGGGAATCCCGGAGCAATATTGAAAATTGTGTTCCAGTTGTCTACTGAGATTATGGTAATTGACACTTGGAACGCTAAGGAGACGTGGATATAGAGTGGCTTTGGGGACAGATTGCCAGAGTCAGAGATTCTTTACCGGAATTGCTGTATAAACATCAAGAGCTCTTAATTTCTATATATCTGCAAACATGTACATCATTGGTCTGCTCAGTACCACCTCTGTGAGGCAGTAACGTCTAGGTTGTTTATAATGTTGAAGGGGAAACAGTTTGGATTTTATAGCTACTGGCTCTTTACGATCAACAACCAGCAATTACAGTATCTGTGTCTTTCTGGAATCCTGAGATCTTAAGAGATGAAAACTTCACGAAAAGTAGAAAAGGTTTTTGATTCAATATTGTCATCATAAGCCTTTAATACTCTTTGGTGGATATAAAATTGAGCCTTGCCCCATCTTAAATTATATTTCTAAAGAAGTGATTACAGTTTTAAATGAGAGATCAGTTTTACATGAACAATTATGAATTTCACTATGCCACAAAGATAGGCTTAATTACTTTGTTAGGACTGCTTTTGCTGTGAAGGAAAAAAAAAGGGAATTTTTAGCAAGTGATGTGTGCTTGTTTCAAATGGACTGGCTAGTCTCACTAACACCAGAAAAGGTTTGATTTTTACTTGGGTTTCCTCCAACAAGTATTGCTTCAATATTTCTGGTCATATGGTTTTAATTATACTTTATTTATTTTCTGCTGTGCCTTTCACCTCCATTTTTCAACCTGACGGGCTGAACTTGTCTGATTTATAATCCGCCTTGGTGAAATATGACAACCTCTGCAGATAGTACAGAACACAGGGAAACAGGAAGCCAGGAAAACGTATAAAATATATTTGTAACTTCATCGCAAAGTGTGAGTCTGAGACCTGGCTCTTTCTTTGGATATTCTCTTGGAGTCTTTTGTGAAAAATCCAGAAGAAGAAAAAACACTACAAATAGAGTCCTCAGATAAAGTCTACATATTGGAGACATCCCAACAGATGATTTCAGATTATCTAATATTAAACTTTCAAGTAACATTTTGAGTATGAAAATTCTCGTGCTGAAAATGCAAGGGGCCCAAAGTTTCGTGTTTTGGAGTAAGAGATCCAGTTGTCTGCAGTTCTTTCTTTCCTTACCAGTTGTAACTTTGTCCTCATCTATCTGTTCCCTCTGGTTTTGTGTCTCACTCTGCCCTAGGAGGTAATTGGGGGGCTTAACTGTCCTTTCTTTACTGTTCAGCGTTGAGCACAAGTCTTGCTCGTGATGTATAGATTCCTACAGAAGGACAGCACCGGAAAGCCATTAGGAAACAGAATGAGGTTTTTGCAGAGAGTGGAAATACAAATCCGGAGTTAAAAACTTGTTGATACCTCAGATTTGAAAAACAGGACTAATGCCAGGAATATTTAAAAGTTGTTTTTCTTTCTTTAAGAATAAACTTTGACTTGCTATTTGTGTTTCACTTGGCTCAGGAAAAATAGTTGGGCAGTTTCTTTTTCTCCTGGTAAATATTACTTTTCATTTTCTTCCTCTTCATTTTGGGGCAGAGTCTACTATTATTTCTGGCAGAACAGGAAAGTGCTTACGAAGAGGAATCAGTTTTTATTGATTACCTTTAAATGTCTAATGCAGGAAGGCAACAGGAAGTAAATCTGAGGCTCTTGAGATTTATGCTTCTCTCTCTAAGCTATCTATAGATTTGGGGGAATTATAAAGAGCTTAATGTTCTACTTTACAGAAAACTCAAGGGGAAAGACCATTGTAGAAGTTATGTATACTTTTAAAAGGTCTGTTTTTTCCCTTGTATATGCTCTTTATGAACTCTGGCTTGTTAAGAGTTACTGACATTGAGCTGAGGATATAGGTTCTTATTAGCATGTCTCAAATAGATTTCTCATATCCTGCAGAAAATAATTCTGAAATGTGAAACCTAAGAGGGCTTTTCTGATTCGAACCTTTTGAGGACCCGAGTAAGTAAATATATCCCCACTACCCAAGACAGTCATCATTTTAGAATTAAAAAATAACTTGAGCTACAGAAAAGACTTCGAAAAGTTTGCCATTAATCACTGCCACTTTAGTGATAGACCAGTTGACCAAAAAAAGGCTTCAGAAAGAATTCCTCCTGTTCATTTCGTACTTGTTCAAGTTGCATAAAAACTTGAGTGATAAATAATTTTATGAACGTTTTCATAAAATGGGTTTCATAAAGACAGCACAATACCAAACTACTGAGTTCTGTGAGTTTAATCAATGTCTGTGCTTTCAAAATACAGTCAACATTACAGGGCACTCTGCTAAAGGTGGATTCTCCTTCTAAAAATGATTCACCCAGAAAGGTTATGTTTAGCTGAAGTTAGGATTGCTCCAAAAACAACAGGAAGCAGGAGGATGGCTGAGTGCAGAAGCATCCTGCTTAACCCTGCCTGCTGTGTCCAGAGTGTGCACATATGGTACAACATCAGGCAGTGAAACCCCTGCAGTACTTTGGAACTAGTTAAAGGACACAGTGTCAACTTCATTTTGAATCGTCTTGCTATGGTTGCTTAGAGGTTAAAATGTCAGCTGCAGACAAATGGAACAGCACAAAGTGGCACTGTGGTCCACAGACTTACCACCTATAAAAGAAGTCTCCGAGGAGTCAACGGCTTCTGCCTTTCTCGCAGTAACTTGCTCATAAACTTTAATTGCCACCATCTCCAGCTTATATTTTAAGTCATGTCTTTGTCATAATTTTTAAAAACCAGCTTGGGCTGAGTTTTACCCTCAATTGAATTTTTAACAGGCACGTAGAAAGCCTTTGAAAAGTATCACGTCTAGTAAAAATGTTCACGTGCCGAAAGTGTAGTAATGGTGTTATGAGAAGATAGAGATTGTAACGTTTTTGTTTGTGGAACGCAAAATTATGTCCTTTCCGATACGTCATTTGAAACGCAAAATTATGTCCTTTCCGATACGCCATTTGGAACGCAAAATTATGTACTTTCCGATACGTCATTAAGTACTTTAATAGACTTTTTAAAGCTTAATACCAAACTTTTGACGTATGCATTAGAAAAATATCTTATTTACGGGCTCTGTAAATGAAGCATGTAAGAACACTGTAAAGACATATTAAGGCTATCTTAAGTTCAGATGAGCTGACTCATTTGAAAAGACCCTGATGCTGGGAAAGATTGAAGGAGAGAATAGAAGAGGGTGACAGAGGATGAGATGGTTGGATGGCGTCACTGACTTGATGGACATGAGTTTGAGTTGGTGATGGACAGGGAGGCCTGGCGTGCTGCAGTCCATGGGGTCTCAAAGAGTCGGACACGACTGAGCCACTGAACGGAAGTTCTGCCCTCTGGTGCTTGTAATTGTCAGGGTCCGAATCTGTAGATTTCATCTTTGGAAATTGCTGGTGTTATAATGAGAGGGCACGGAAGAGTCCCAAATTGGCATTATTCCATATTTCGTTTGGATGTGAGTCGCATATATGTTTAAAATGAGTGTAGAATGCTAATCAGTAGTAAACAACTACCTTTCCAGTTGAGATATTGTTCTGTTCAGAGAAGCCAGGCGAGACCATCTCTTCAACTAATTGATGGTTAAGTGCCACTCACGACAGTAATGACGACAGAGTGCTTCTTGCCACAAACTCATCTCTGTGCTGAACGCATCATGGCCCCTCTGGAGTCCCTCACTGTAGGGCCCCACCTGGGCTTGTCTTTCATCCTTTGGGATGAGGGCTTCTGCTCCCCTTGCTCCACTTTAAACCTGATCTGACATACGATATGTCCCCCTATGCTTTCCTTCACATCCAGGTTCTCTGTCACGTGACAGCTGAGGAATAAGGTAAATAAGTGTTGGTGTATTAATGGGCATCATGGGTTTTTAGTGACAGTGTCCTCACTGTAAGAAGTTGCTCTAATTTTTAAGAAATCCAGGCATTTCCTGGGCCATTTGGGGCAGCAGGCAGAGCTCTTCTTGCTCCCCTTTAAATTACACCTTAGAGATCACGAACTACTGTTTCCTTCTTCCTCTTACCTTACCATGTAAAGTCCAGGTGAGTTGCTTTGAACTCTGAGCCACTAAAAAGCCACTATACCCATAATGTCCAAATCTTCATTTCCTTCTTGTGGAGAAGAGTCTTTCTAAGAGAATCATCTGATTTTTAACTCAATGCCCTTTGTTGCCACCAGCTAACACAGTGATAGCTGATACTTCTTAGGTCAGGGTCTGTCTGGACTGGTTATCTTCACTAACACATTTGTTGCTGTTTGGTCACTAAGCTGTGTCCGACTCTTTGCAAACCCATGGACTCAGCACGCCAGGCTTCCCTGCCCTTCAGTGTCTCTCGAGGTTTGTTCAAATTCATGTCCATTGAGTCAGTGATGCCATCCAATCATCTTATCCTCTGTTGCCCCCTTCTCCTGCCTCAATCTCTCCCAGCATCAGAGTCTTTTCTAATGAGTCACTTCGTCGCATCAGGTGGCCAAGGTATTGGAGCTTCAACACCAGTCCTCCCAGTGACTATTCAGAGTTGATTTCCTTTAGAATTGACTGGTTTGATCTCTTTGCTGTCCAAGAGACGCTCAAGAGTCTTCTCCAGCACCACAGTTTGAAAACATCAATTATTTGGTGCTCAGCCTTCTTTATGGTTCAACTCTTAGATCCATACATGACTACTGGAAAAACAACACTAACTAAACAAAACTAAATCAAATCTCACTAACACAGTAACAAAATCTCGCTAGATTTACATCTGCATAGATTTACAAATTGTCCCACTGCCCTTGTAAAACATGTATTTTCAGTTATAAGAAAAACCAGCTGAGGCATGTGAATTCCTAATCATTTCAAAAGAAAAACTTAAAACGCACACTAAAGACTGCTTTACCTCACTCTACAATACATAGGCAGCATCTCAAGATGTATCCAATTTGCACC